CCCGTGCAGTCGCGATCCTCCTAATTATTCGAGTTCATTTATTTGAACTTCAAACTTTTTGATGTTCTTTCATTGTTGCAGATTGGACATTGTGTCTTCTTTCTGTGCCTATTTTGATTGGTTTCTTATGTTATAACGGTCACATTGTTTATATCCTGGACCAGAAAATGTTGTGCGCTCTTGATCTAACTTTATTAGAAGTGTAATATACTTGAATCGAAATAGATCAATGAGTGACAATGAACTGACGAGAAGTGTGAAAGGATAGTTTATTTATTTATTGATACGAGGGACAATTAATCATCAAGTAATGCTACTACATAGGAACGCGCATGTATTATACTCAATTCAATTGCGCGAGAACTTCTTAGTATAATGCCGATTAGTCGTGTACATCATATAGTTTTAATAGGATTAGAATGTACTTTCTTGGTACAGTATTTCAGTAGCATGAACACTTTCTTTTGCCTTTTCGAATGTTAGTGGATATGAAATTTGTTCAAAATATTGTCCTTTGGGCTTTGGAGTTTTTTTGAGAACTAAAATTTGTAGTTTTCTTGAACATAAGCCTCTATTCCAAATTAAGTCAGTTTTTCCTTGTCGCACTTTTGTTTTTAGAAATTCAAATCCTGTTATAAATTGGAGAAATAGGGGAGGGGGCAGGATTCGAACCCTAGACCTCTACTCGAATAGTAGAGGCTAGGTACCATTGTCACTCTTTAAGTAACTGGCACCCTTATTCCTTATCACATATAGTGATTCTTGCTATTTGTAGATCAAGTCGGGAAACTTAATTTTCTTTTCTTTTTATTCGTCTTTGTTTAAAATTTATGATGCAGTATATTGATGTATAATTATGTTTCTGTGTCAATTTGTTTGATATAGATCCGACCATTGTGGAGGCATTACTTTCAGAACACTCAAGGGTTGATATTCGTGGTTGATAGTAATGATCGTGATCGTGTTGTTGAAGCTAGGGATGAACTTCATAGGATGTTGAATGAGGTAATATTGAACCCATGTCCTGATAGATGGTTTGTGGTTCAAACAATAAATTTAAAATCTCTCCGGGTTTTTTTCGACAACTGTTTATATTGTACTCTGTAGGATGAACTTCGGGATGCAGTGCTTCTTGTATTTGCAAACAAACAAGATCTTCCAAATGCTATGAATGCTGCTGAGATTACTGACAAGCTTGGACTTCACTCTCTCCGTCAGCGCCATTGGTACTCTCTCTCTCTCTCTCTCTCTCTCTCTCTCTCTCTCTCTCTCTCTCTCTCTCTCTCTCTCTCTCTCTCTCTCTCTCTCTCTATATATATATATATATATATATATATATATATATATATATATATATATATATATATATATATATATATATATATATATAGAGAGAGAGAGAGAGAGAGAGAGAGAGAGAGAGAGAGAGAGAGAGAGAGAGAGAGAGAGAGAGAGAGAGAGAGAGAGAGAGAGAGAGAGAGAGATATATATATATATATATATATATATATATATATATTAGATTTATTTCGTGCTATTAAGATGTTATGAATTTGTAAGATGTTTTAAATAAGTTTAGCCAGGCAGGCTCCTGAGAAAAAAATGATATATTTAATTCCATACTGAAATCATGAGGAAAGTAAAACTAGCATACAAGTAAATACAAGAATATGGGATCTATTATACAACAAACTATGATAGTTACTATTTTGATTTGAGTATCAATGTTCATCTGAGGACTCTATTAGAGCTCAAGACGAAATTTTCTTGACCAGCAACGGTTGAATTAAGCCTACCGGCAGCCCACCCGTTATTTATGACACGAGTGCCCTCTGCTCGTTTTTCGTATTCCGGTAGACCTTTAGCTTTCCTATCCTTCCTTCTTTCTCTCTCCTCTTCTCTCTCTTTCCTTAACCATCTCTCTACGGTTCTCTGCCAAAAATGCATGCAACTATATACGATAAACATCTATACACGAAACCTCTCTCAATTATCGAGCAATATAAAATTACAGTAATACAGTAGAACCTCGATAAATTAATAACCTCGCTTAAATAATAATTTCTTACGATCCCGACTCGGTAAAACGTACTAAATTATTACTTCAATAATTTAATATTTCGCTAAATTAATAGAATTTTGTCAGTCCCGACTGAACTAATTTATAGAGGTTTAACTGTATATATGAAATAACATGAAATCACGAGTTTCGAAGAGGTTCTCGTTGGAACTCTTGAAGCATTTCAAACTTTTGAATAATCCACGTTGTTGATTGTACGTTTTTTACGAGTAAGTGCTTGAAGCATATACTTCAACGAAAATAATTACTTAAATCTCCAAAACTATCACATGCTTGTAATTTGTTTCGATTTGATTGCCCAAGAAAATATTATATTTTTTCGTTTTTTATTTAACACGGATGATATTATGTAATAACGGCAAATCTAGTTTCGATCTTTATACGTAACTTTTATTGTTGGATAGAGAAACTAACCATCAACGACAAATTGCTAATCTCCTTAATCTTACTCATAGGCATCACAAATTGCAATTTCCCATGTGCCACATAAACCTGAAAAAGAAAAAAAAAAAGACACGTTTAAGACGACAAAAACATTTGTAGAAGACCATTTCATGATAACGAATACGATTGAATCAAAATAACTTACGACATGCGACGGCCAATCTTCAAGACCATCGAAAATATGCGTAGCGTAAATGATTGTAGCACCTCGTTCTTCACATTCCTTCTTTAGAAACTTTAGAAGGTCAGCTCTCGCAAGCACGTCTAAGTCGACTGTGATCTCGTCGAGCAAGAGAACCTGACATCGGCAAACATAGTATATAATCAACTCTTATTAATCAACCTCGATTCTTGTCAAAATTATATATACAATTCTTGTCAAAATTAAAATTATATATACAGTTAAACCTCTATAAACTAATACACTCGGGACTAGGGAAATTCTATTAATTTAGTGAATTATTAAATTATCGAGTTAATAATTTAACACGTTTTCACCGAGTCAGGACCGAGAGAAACTATTATTTAATCGCGGTTATTAATTTATCGAGGTTCTACTGTATAACTTTATGTATATATAATACATATATATACCTTGAATGGCTTTAGAAGACCCATACATATTTGAACTCTTCGTCTTTGACCGTCTGATACTTTATGCATTCTCCACGAAAGGTCGACGTCTAAGACCTACGGCAAGAGAATTCATCCACGTCGTTTTTCTTACATATATAGATACAACATAGTCTACATTTTGAAAAAAAATATGATTTTTTTTTAATAATTAAAATACCTTTATTAGTTCATCTCTCCTTTGGGGAGTGACACCCGCTACACCGAAAATCATTTTCTCGGCGGACACGTCCATTTGAATCGGAACCTCAAAACCAGCAAACGCAACTTCCCTTCTCCACTGGAAATTAAGTAAAAAGTTTAGACAAATCAAATTTCAAAAAATCATTCAGAAACGATTAGCAATTGTCGTGTTTTAGTGACAATCTATTCTCGTAAACACCGGGGCAACATCATTTTTTTCTTTTTTAATACAGAGTTTCGATGCTAATTGTCATACTTCAAATTCGAATCCATCCTCAAAATCGAACATATTTTCACCATAGAACATATATATATATATATATATATATATATATATATATATATATATATATATATATATATATATACATGTAACAAGTGTATGCAATTAAGATTTCGATTTGACAAATTAATTTTGAAAACACAACTCAGAAGAACATGCTTAATAACCTAAGGGTGCATTTGGATGGAGGGATTTGGGGGAGGGATTTCAAATCCATAATAACAAATCCCTCGGACTTGTTTGGATTGATGGATTTCAAATCCCACCCCTCATTTTTAGTTATGTTTTGAGCAATTGAGGTGGATTTCAAATGACTCCAAAACTGGAGTCATTTCAAATCCATTCCCCAAATCAAATCCCTCCCCAAATCCCTCCATCCAAATGGACCCTAAGGGAATAAAAAAGAAAGTAAGAAATAAAAAATTGAGAAAACCTCGCCGCCGAGATAAGAGAGATCGCCGGAGGAAGTCAAAGCGGTGTCGTGAAATGCGGATCTTCCAAACACCTTCACCATATTTTGATCCACCATATGCTTTCCTCCTATAATTTTCAAGATTGTTGTTTTCCCTGCAATCAATAAACCCATTTCAGAGAGAGAGGGAGGGAGGGAGAGAGAGAGAGAGAGAGAGAGAGAGAGAGAGAGAGAGAGAGAGAGAGAGAGAGAGAGAGAGAGAGAGAGAGAGAGAGAGAGAGAGAACCGGCGCCGTTGGAGCCCACAAGAAGGCAGCGGTAGCCTGGAAAGAGAGTGAGGGAGAAGTCATCTATCATGGGTGTGGATCCCGGCGGAGGATGGCCGTCGATTCCGGGATAGGTGAAACTTAACTCTGTTATCTCCACCGTCGGCTGAGATTTCTCCAACTCCTCCTCCATCGCCGCCCGCCAAGATTAAATTTTGACACCACCCACCACCACCACCGCCCAAACTAAAGGTCGTTTTGCACTTCGGCCCCCTAAACAATTAGTTTTGTACTTTTTTCACCTGATCTGGTAATTCGATTGCACGATGACTATAAGTTAGGGTAAAATTCAAAATCATCCCTGAGGTTTGCTCTCAACTTCAAATTCATCCCTGAGGTTCTATTCAGCGTCAATTTCATCCTTTGCACCCTCATTTAACCACCAAATTTGAAGGAAAAACAAGAAATACCAAGACTGCCCCCAACAAATAGTGAACTTTGGTGGAAAAATATAATTGTTTGAAAAACTAGTTGCTGGAAAAAATAGTTGGAGCAAATTTTAGTTTTTATAAATGTGAACACAAACATAAAATATTATGCACTCACCCAAATACGGAATCATGAATTATTTATTTCGGGCTGAGATTTAAAATGATGAACTAAATATTTATGGGGTTTGGGGCAGTCTTTTTTAAAGATTGCCACACAAAATACCATAAATAATAAATATTTATTAACACTAATCAAAATAGTATATGAAACATAAATATTAAAAAATGATTATTGAAACTCCTTTAGTTATGTTATTGATTATGCAATTTATGTGAACTATGTAAGATGAACTGGTTGAATGTGTATAATTTGAAGATGAACCAGATTTTTTTTTAAATAGAAAGAGGCCTCGTTAAAACCTTGTTTTACCATTTATTTTAATAGTAGAATGATAAAGTGTAGTGATCAAATTTATATAATGAAAAAAAAAATATTTAATTTCAATAAGAGTTCATGTTAAAAAATTCAAATCATAAATAATCTTTGAAGAGAAAAATAATAAATATTTTTTTTCTTTTGAGAAGATGGAGCCAAATAGTTAGTTTAAGGGATAAAGGGCAGTTTGGGGATTTCTGAAAATTTCCTTCACATTTGGCGGCTAAAAAGATTTGGAGGATGAAATTGAAGTTCCATAGAACCCCAGGGATGAATTTGAAGTTGAGTGCAAACCTCAGGGATGATTTTGAATTCACCCGAAAGATGTAGGTCCAGTTTGACATGGGTAAATTCGTCATTTGGTTAGTACATAGGGTTAAATACATTTTGCACATGCATTCAACTATATATGTACACTGGGTAAACATACATTCTTGTATAATAGTTTGCGAACTATACCAGAGATGTAAACCACACTAGACTAACTATGTGTAACAAATTCGACCTAGCGACCGTTGGCAAAATGATTTGAACCTGGATCAATTGACACATGTTTATTTGCTCTAACTGCTAGAACATCCATTGCGGATAACATGCACCCTTAAAATACAGTGGTCGTAACACTTTACTTCCTTCAAGTATCAAATATAACACTTATACACCTTCATTAATAATAAATCTTTAAACTTTAATGACATGGTGTTTTTCATTCTCATAATCATTAAATAACTGATAAATATGTAAGAAAATCATTTCTTCAACATTTTTTAAAATCAACTTTATCATTTCAAAATTATAATTTTAGGAAGAAAAAGAAAATCTGAATTCTAGTTTAATTTCAAACTTTGTTTTACTTTTCCTTCACTGTCAGTGTAAACATTTCAATGATTTCAGTGTAAACATTTGAACATATAAAATCATGTGCTATGTAAAGATGTTCATTGCAGCCATAATATATATTCTCATTAAAATTTATTCCCTTCACTTGAGAATCCTCTAGCAACAAACCTAACTTTATAACCAACTTCTTAATCTCAGGGACCTTATATTTTATTCTTAAAAAGTCATATGCAACTCACGTACTTTTTTCCACTCAGTTTTTTAATTCTTCTTCAATAAATCCATCTTTTAAGAGCTCTAGGTTCCAACTTATCTCCTTTAATATGTACATAATCTAAGCAACGAAAGGCTCTCAAATTATTGAAATTAAGTGGCTTACCATACCATTTCTCATAACGAGTTCTGAACTCAATAGCTATAGAATGAACCGAGTTTGTTAGATATGTGGTTGTGTCAACCGCTTTATCCTAAAACTTCTTTCGCAAACCAGCAACAATTACCATGCACCTAACCCTCTCAGGAATTGTTATGTTCATTCTTTCGTTGACTCCATTTTTCCGAGGAGTGTGTGAAATTATTTTGTGCCTCGTGATACCCCTAGTTGTGCTGAAAGCATTAACTCACCATAAATAAATTCCAAGCCATTGTTTGTTTTCAAATGTTTCAATTTGTTTCTTGATTGGTTTTCAACTTCCACTAACCAATCTTGAATTTCTAAATGCTTCATCCTTAGATTTCAGAATAAAAGTCAATAACCTCCTTGAGTAATCATCTATGATTTGGAGAAACTACGTACGACCTCCAAAAGTTTAAAGTTTAGTTGGTTCCCATAAGTCATTGTAAACATAATCCAAATACTTTTGGCGTAGTGTCTCATCTGGTATTGAAACTAATCATGTTTGCCTTTCCGATGAAGAACACATTGCTCACAGAACTCCAACTTCTATACTTTGTCATATCCAAGTAATTTCTGTTTTGACGATTCATGAAGTCCTATCTCATTGATATAACTATGTCTCAAGTGTCAGATATTAATGTTATCTTCCTCGTGGTTCTTAATACTTGAGACATTTTTAATATACATGTAGAACCCGGACGTCGGTTTAACCCACAGTTCAATCAAATATAGATTTTAAAAAATAATCTACCAACGGTCAGATTAAAATAAGGGTCATGATTAGAGGATCGAACTGGTGTTGCCGGCGATTTGATTTCAAATTGGATAGCCGATCGAGATTATCTGACCGTTGATAATCAACCGTACAGGTTAAATATTCATATGATTGTTGCTCCAACAAAGATATTTATGAACCGGCGGTTAACCGACCGAACCGGCCAAATTATACTTTTGTTTATCCCCATTCATTTGTCTTGACCAATTCTCTTCTTGTCTCTTCTACTTCCTCTCAAGTTTTAATTAACAAACAAATATACATTCCCAATAATTAGTTCTCTTTAATTTTATTTATACATCTCTCCTTCAATATTATTATTGAACGGTATAATGCCACCACAAACTAAAATTTGGGAAGAGGAGTTTTCTCAATAGTCTATAATACGCAATACTCAACAATCAAGCCGGAAAAACGAAGAGGTGAAATATAATTATCATATCGCGTCAGTTCCGATTTTCTAAATACCGACGCCAGAACATAAGGTAAGCAAGGTAAGTTAAAACTACCTGTATTTGATTCATTTTGTTAAAATATGATACGTAGGCAATTTCATTTGTACGTTTTAAAGTTTTACTTTAAACTTTAAAATTCAAAAAGTGCAAGTCCTCCCATTGTACTTTTTTTTTCTTTTTTTCTTATTAAGTTTTTATAAGTATGACATTTTTAAAAGCTTTACAAGTATAAATATTTTTTAGGTAAATTACAACAACCCCTTGAGGTATGGTCAAATTACGAAAATCCCTCTTCTATTTGGGTAATTACAATCACTCCCTCTAATATTATACTTCTTACACGTCCGCCCTTGCGGTTTCAAATTTAGTAGAATCTTCCAGATTATATGGAATATTATCACTTGTGTACCCGTTTTGTCCCATCCAAGCTTTACATTTTGAAGCAAGATGATCATAATATGTGTTTTTTGGCTTGTATATATCAAATTGTGGTGCATCAGAAACTGTATTTTTACACAAAACGAGTACAAACTAGAGCACATTCCATCAATCCTAGATGATTATGTTGAATTTGACACCATAAGGGTGGAGGTGTAAGTTAAAATTATAGTTGAGGCGGATAGATGTAATTATCCAAACAAAAAGGGTTTTTTTTTCGTAAATTGGCCATACCTCAGGGGTGGTCGTAAAACCGTTGTTTACAAATAAAAAAATTAAAAAAACAAGAATCTGAAAAATCGGTTAACCTATAGTTCCTTTAAACATGTTGTTTGCAACCAGTTATGGTTCTAGTATTTGAGGAACCGGAACCGGCCATTCCGAACTAGAACCGGAACCGAACTAGATTGTGGCTATATCAAGTTCAAGTTCTTATCTCACGTCAAATCTAAATCAAACCTAAAATTGCAGAATAATGGAAGTTTAAAATATATTGAAACTCAAGTTTATCTGGTACAAGAAAATTCATAAGAATAACCAAAATTATTGATCATGAAGTGAAACAAGATTGGGGAGATTGATGATATCATATAATTGTTGCAATTGTTTCTTTTTTTCTTCACATTTTGGTAGTTAGGGTGTTGCAAGAATAGAAAGAAATGTATGTTAAAGTGCTTATATAATAATATCAAATACTAAGAGTAATTTCAATTCAAATAGAATACACGATATTGTTCTAAAATGTAATGGATTTTATGAAGATCAATACTATAGTTCCACCACAATGAAAAGACAAGCTCAAAACTTGCATCTCGAATCAAGTTCTCCGTCGTGCCGCATTCCTTTTCTTGTTACCATTTGTCTTGTCTTGAGCATTGAAAAACAAGCCAACAAACCATTTTGGTCTTTGATACCGGAAAATGAAATAACCGATCATAGTTCCAAATACGAATCCACATCCATACCCCAAAACAACAGCTTGCCAAGTAAAACCATCCATAAAATCGGAATCATTATCACCTTGTGGCAACACCGGAAACAAAGTTTGTACATTGTCCTGTTTGCAGTTTTTTGTCAATGGAAATCCGCATAATCCCCAGTTTCCCATATATGAATTGTTTTCAAATGTAGGGAACTGCCCGGTACTAGGCTGAGGTATCTTTCCAACAAGATTATTAAACGAAAGGTTCAATATAGAAAGAAATGTCAACCTTGTCAACTGCAATGGAATTTCCCCCGCCAATTGGTTGGAAGACAAATCCAATGACTCAAGCATGCTTATATTTCCAAGAGATGCAGGTATATTTCCTGTGATGTTATTACGAGATAAATTCAAGTATCTTAGGGAGTTAAGCTTTCCTATGGACCGTGGAATAGTTCCGGAAAATCTATTACTAGACAAGTCAATGGTCGTAAACGCATTCGAAATTCTCACCACAGAAAGCACCACTCCTTTCAGAACAAACACCATTGACTCTTCAGTATAATACGGTGT